CCCCAAAACCCCAAAACCCCAAAACCCCAAAACCCCAAAACCCCTTTTCTTTAGACTTGGCTGAAATCAATTTTAAATATGGACAAGATCCAGAGGAAACAGAAGGTTAAAGAAGTCAAGAAGGCATCGACGAGGTTGGAGGAAGAGACAAAGGAGAAGGAAGCTCAGCTAGAGCAGCTGAAGAAGATGATGAATCTTGAACGGCAGAGGAAGGAGGAGATGAAGGTTACGAAGGATGGGTCTAGGTGGAGAACGGGGAATAAGACGACGAAGATTAAGGGGTATGGCAAAGCGGTGCTTGATCAGCATAAGAAGGAACTGCACAGAGCAAAGAAGAGGATATTGAAGAATAATGCAGCAGGGACTTTGAATGCGCAGGAGGAGAGAAGAGGGTCGAAACCTCCAACTGCTCAATCGAATTCGAAACCACCAACTGCACAATCTAGGTCTAAGCCACAGGAAGAGACAGTGCCTGATGGGGAGTTCCCAGAGGTTGAAGAGTTTTTAGAGAGTGTAAAGCTTAAGAAATATGTTAAGAAGTTTGTTGATAACGGTTTTGAGGATCTAGAGACTATTCTAGAGCTTAATGAAGAGTATCTAGAAACTATAGGAATTCCTCTTGGCCATAAGCTTAAAATAATGAAAAGGATTAAGGATATTAATAGCCAAAAGCAAACCGATTTTAATATTTCTAATACCCAAGTTGAAGGTAATTGTTCATCATGATTTCTAGAGCAGTGATCAGAGCCTATGGTAGAAGTTGGGGCAGAGCCAAAGGTGCCACAGAACAGAGGCTGGACAACAACAGCTAATCAAGACTCTGCTGTGAATACAATGGAGACAGGGGATAATTTACCTGATAACTGTGGGTTTGAAACTTCTTCTCACCCTCAAGTCCAGACGACTGGAGTGTCTGTCGAGACACAGAAGACTTCTGCAAAGGAAGATGTGCCGAGCCAAGTGAATTCCAGTACAACTATTGATACTTCAAAAGTAAAGTCTGTCAGAATGGAAGAACTTAAGATGCAAACTGAGAAACCTACTACACAAGAAATGAATACTGATACAGGGATGGACCCCATGCTCGGAGGTTCCAAGATTGGTAAGAAAGAAAGCTGTTGGCAATGATATAAGCTAGAGATAGAGAGTGACATGCTCTCGATACCAGAAGTACCAAAGAAACTATTTTGCAGTCACAAATGCCTCGGTAAATTCAAAATTGAGAATTTCGTTAAATGCTCTATGGATGGATGAAATAATCGCTTTCCAAAAATTAGAGGTGGAACATTAGTTGGAAGCCAATGGTATTGTAACCAAGAATGAGCACAGAAGGATAACCCTGAAGTCGATGAAATCGTCGAAGATGAGAAAGAGCCCGAAGAAGTACCCCAGACTGGTGCTGAAGAATAAGTTGTGTTCTAAGAAGTACAAAACTTGATATTTTCAATAACTTTATTAAAAATCGGGGTTTTGGGGTTTTGGGGTTTTGGGGTTTTGGGG